ATATATATATATATATATATATATTGCACTGCTTAATATATTTTGTGGAAACCATGATAATTGATTGGAAAAAGACATACAGTAAATATAGTCTAAATTTGTGCATTTCTTTGTCTTCGCATTTATAAGCATAGTTGAGTCAAACCTATCTGTCACAGGAGAAATCATAAGTGAATTGAGTTTGATCATAATTTGTTTTGATTATTGTGCACAGTATGCATACTCACTAGGTTTTGGAAAAGAGTCAAAATCATCGTAACGGCAAAAGCTCTTGTTAAGAAGTTTTAGCATGTGCTACGTTTTCAATTGCTGAACAGAAAATATGATAACTGCAGGCACCGCATGCCTACTAAGTATGTGCGCGCTTTGTGACCACATGACTCTCTTTATCAAACCACTTTAATCAAGGACCCACTATTCTTATAACAATCTTTCTTTTCTCCGTAACTGAAGGCTTGCAGGTCATTTTGCCAGATTATCTCAGAGACACTTTCGTCCAAGCAGCTCTTAGTTACATTGCCTGCAATGGAGAGGGAACTTTTGTCTGTCGAGACAATGACTGCTGGTGCAAATGTGACCCCAAGTTTCCAGAGTGCAACTGTCCCTACATGGATATTCAGGCCATGGAGGAAAGCCTTTTGCGAATCTCTGAATCATGGGCTGTTACCTACAAGGAGTTTGAAGATTCAGGTAGGAGACTGAATTCAAGCATGTTTCAACTGAATAATTTTTGTTATTCATTTGTCCTTCTGAAGAAACATCTCAATCACCACAACAATTAATTTAAGAGCCTATTTTGGAATTGTATAATTATTATTAGTTATTATAGAAGTTTAGAAAAGTATGTTATTTACTACTGTTCATTCATTGCTGAAGATGGACAAACAATCATTTAACTTTCTTAACTAACACTATAGGCAAAACCATTTTTTCACATACTAGTCAGTGAGATTTTAGGCTATTTTGCTTTCATAACAATTTTTTGGGGCATGCTAGTGGGGGGAAAAACATCGATAATAAACCTTATCTATTTGGGACTGCAGATTTCAATTACATTTCTTTAAAGACCGTTTTCTCTAAATTAGTTTTTTTTTCCTGCACTGAGCCAGAAACCTCCACTTCAGCATTTACATACACTCAACAAACTTTACAGTTTCATTCCTATCTATATTTTGAAAGTTTTTACAGAAGGATTGTTCATATATCATTCACGTTAGTTATATAAAATTGTATTCCTATAAACATGGTGAAAATTCTGTTAACAGAATTTTCTGATTTATGTAGTAATAAAAAAGGATATCCAAAATCCCCTGTGTAAGAATCTTTAACTTTAATATGTCAACAAAAATTTATTGTGAACCTGGCTTTTTCAGATTTTTCAGATTTGTGTTCAGGAAACTTATGCAAATTAGTCTATATTTAATTAGATAATGCATTGTTTGCATATTTTAATGTAACATTTCTAAAAACTTGTAATACACAAAAATGTATAATCAATAATATACTGAATAATCAACTGCGGAATTGTGGCAATAACTATTAGTTAAATTGTTTACCCTGTTGACCTGTGGTCTTATCTAGTATAATTACTCTACTTTTTCACACTGGTCACTGGTCTGAATAAATATGAACAACTTTCAGTGAATCCTGACATTCCCCACATAATGTCCTTCAGAGACAGTGTGGGATTAGAAAAAAAAATATCCTGCTCAACATATTGCCTTACAGTATGTTGAGCAGAATTAATCACCCATAAAATGCTTTATTGCCCATCCAGCATCTTTCATCAAGCATATGAATGAGAGCACTTAGCATAATGTTTAGGTACTGTATTACTGCCTGTCGAGGTCACCCCCACAGTGACCATTAATGCTTGAGCAAAATTAAAACGCATGGATTTTTTTTCTTCCACACTGTCATCCTTTTCCCTTCTTCCTAAAATATCCCAGAGTTCAATTACTTTCAAAGTTTATGTTATTAGAGCTATCAGGAAGTGCCAGATATACATACTTTCTCAGGTATCGTAAATGTGTCCTTCTGATAGGAGCATCAAAGGCATTCAGTGTTCTGCCCCATCAGCTAAAATGAAATGATCTGTAGGAACCGCTTGAAAAAATGTCTCTTCACTGAAATGATTCCTTCTTATTGTCAAGGAGAGTGAAGTATAAAGGCAATGCGTTCAGGCATTTAACCACTTTTCAATCAAGTTTACATGACAACACTACTATATCTGAGAGAACGTACTCTTTCTTCAACAGATGAGTTCAAAACATTTCTGATGAGGCTGCCGCAGAATTTCTTCCTCAACTCCTCGATGATCCAACATTTGTGGTCGCTGGATGGTGTATTTCAGAGGCGCTATGAGCAGCTGGAAAGTAACATGAAAAGTCTCTTCAAGCGAGCCCAGCGAGTGGTTTACAAGCTCTTCAGCCTCAGCAAGAGGTGCCAAAAGCAGCCCCACATCAACTTACCGCGTGAAAGGTGAGCACAACAGACTCATTATCTCCTCATTGTTGTGGTGATAAATACACTGATACTTAATTCCGAAATGGAATAATGCCCCCAATTACTGTATCCAGAGAGGAAACTCTTCACATAGTGTTTATCATCATTATTGCTTGTGTTCATGAGTGGCCTGCATTTCAGACTCCACGGGCTGCCGAGAGGAATGTTTGTCAGTGTGCTTCAGAGTCAAAGGGAGCACTAGTGCTCTCGTCTCCGGGGGGGCACCTTTGTGTTTACCCACAATCAATAAGACTAAAGTCGCCATAGTGGTTCTCAACTGGTTTTGCTTCAGGCCTTAGATTTTACATTGGCTACCAACACAGTTTATTCGGGATGTAACGATATCAAAATCTCACGATACAATATTATTGCAGTATGAAGTCCACAATACGATATTTATTGCGATATTTAAACAAAAAAGACATATTAAGACGTTTTAAAGTTAAATTATTCTATCTAATGCACTTTGAGAGTTTGAAATTAAGAGATATCTCAAGTCAAAAAAATTGTCTGTGTATTGACTTTTACCTGAACTTTAAAGGGGACTCGAGCCTCTTTTTATTTGTTATATACCGTCTCAGTCTAAATTACATTCACACTGGTGTTTTAGGAAGCCAAACAAATTAGAATAGAATAATAATAATAACAGCAATGACAGCAGTAGCATATACTGTAAAACAACTGCACTGTAAAATAAATGAAAATGAATACTTCATAGAAATAGGAAGTTACAATACTTCTTTCCTAATTTCTCAACACTTGAAAGAGATATTTTGAATTTGGACTGCAGTAACGTTACCCATTTAAACCGCTAGCTGTCAGCAATTCATACTGCACTTTTAAGCTTTTATTTTGATGGATATGGCAGTAGAGCTTTTATTTTGAAGGAAAACGCCACTCCCAAGACTACACTTTTATCGTTTCATATCATCATGTTACCACGATATTGCAATATTGATAATATTGTTACATCTCTACAATTTATTGTACAAAAGTAAATAAAAATGCCCTTAAAATTAAACATTTTCGAACGATGTGTAAGTGAAGTTTTATCTGGATCAGATTTTCTTCTACAGTGCATAGTTTTCTTCTTAATATGGAAGTTTGAGAGCAGCCTGTCTATGTCCGCATCCTTTGTATTTACACTAATTATTGTGTTATCCTAACTATAGACAATTATATGGTTAATTAAATTAGTTTATTAATTCAATAAAAATCAGATCACAGATCACACCTAACATTAAAATTAATAAATCATAAATGTGTGATTCACACATTGAATACCCAAATTAATGTAGAAGAAACATAAAGGAGATATGAATAAATAAATAAATGAAACATACATTTGCAAATGTGAGCACATTATGCATGGAATTTAACATGTTACACAGTCCATATTAATCAGAAAAAAATAGCATATTATTTTCACAGCCCTAATTTAATGATTTGTCAAAACAGACTTGCAACCCATTTTAGTGCCACAACCCACCAGTTGAGAACCAGCAGTTTAGAGCAGTGTTACTTTTAAGTTTAGACTTTCAAATCTCCTTCAATATCGGAACATTTATAGGTTTGCGAAAATAAATCATGAAGCAGTTGCTGTTAGAGAGAGATGCTAAGTGACAGTTTTGCCATATTTTAAACAGAAGAAGGGAACAATATATGCTTGTACTTTTTTAGATAACTTTTTGTGGAACAGAATTATGTTTGTGCTAGTTTTAATCTTGCCATCTGCCGCTGTACCGGCTTTGGATACATGACAATTTAATCTCAACAATCATCGTTTAGGCAGACTAACTGATACTGCTGTTTACCTTATCTTAGGCCACAGTCGTATTGGCTGAACTACTTCCAGTCTTTATTATACTGCTCAGAGAACAACCAGCTAGGCTCCTTCTCAGAAGAACTGCACACTTGCATTTGTGCATATGACCACAGTTCCTGCCAGGTACCCACACCATGCTCTGTGGGTGAAGGTGCCGCCTGCGCCGCTTGTGCTAGCGACAACCACACTCGCTGCGGCAGTTGCAACGTCGGCTACATGTTAAGTCAAGGGACCTGTCGACCGATGGTGGCAGATTCCACCGAGAACTACCTGGGCTTTGAGACTGATCTTCAAGATCTGGAGCTACGCTACCTTCTACAGAGAGCCGATCGACGCTTAGAGGTCCACGCTATCTTCATCAGCAACGACATGCGGCTGAATAGCTGGTTTGATCCTTCATGGAGGAAGAGGATGCTGCTTACGCTAAAGAGTAACAAATACAAATCCAACCTGGTCCATATGCTCTTAGGCATCTCCCTTCAAATTTGCCTTACGAAAAACAGCACTCTGGAACCTACGCTCACGCTCTTCATCAATCCCTTCGGGGGGAGCCACTCAGAAAGCTGGTTAATTCCTGTGAATGAGAACAGTTTTCCAGACTGGAAGTCTGCTAAGCTGGACCTTCCACTAGAATGCTTTAACTGGACCTTGACTTTGGGCAACAAGTGGAAGACCTTCTTTGAGACCATCCACATTTACCTGAGGAGCCGCATCAAAACTCCAGGCACTGGAGCCAATGACAGTGTTTACCTGGAGCCTTTGGAAATGGCCGACCCTACTAGAAATCTGGGGTACATGAAGATCAACAGCATTCAAGTGTTCGGTTACAGTATGCATTTCGACCCGGAAGCAATCCGGGACTTGATCCTGCAGCTGGACTACCCATACACGCTGGGCTCGCAGGACTCTGCCTTGCTCCAGCTGCTGGAGATCCGGGACCGGGTCAACCGACTCTCTCCACCGGGCCAGCAACCTCTGGACCTTTTCTCCTGCTTATTACGGCACCGTCTCAAACTGACGGCTAATGAGGTGGTGCGCATTCATGCCTCGCTCCAGTCCTTCAATGCTCGTCTCCCCAATTCTCTGGATTATGAGACCACTAAACTCTGTAGCTAACGGCTAAAGCATCACAGCAGACATCAATAGAACAACTGTAAAAATGCAGAGTAGACTGTTAAAGTCAAAGCTGCAATGACTTTCCGTGATAGAGACACTATTTTTTTGTGACTTTACCTTCACTAGTAGATCATCTTGCTCAAAAACAGACTCATTTTTATTGTATTGTACACTGAGTTCAAAGAAGAGATTTAAAAAATATATGGAGTGTTTGTTTGTAATTTTTATGTTTTTTTTCTTCTTCTTTTGCTTCAGTGACAGTGCGCTTTCCTTGGAAAGAATACAGTGATGTCAGTCAATTTTGTAGTTAAATTGTTATTAAAACATCATGGTTGTAATGGAGTAATGGTTGCATTATTTATCAGCATATTTTTATTGTTATGTGACAGTTTAGTTTATTGGAAAATGAAACATTTTATATTTGCAATTGAGTGCACTTAATGAGGAATTAAATACATTGAACATGATATATGACTTTGATAAAATAATAATGAAACAGATTTATTGACATAATTATATTATATGCTTGTTAGGTTCATGATAATTTCTTTTTATTCACATCCCATTGGAAGAGAGAGTGTTTTGTTTTTCATTACTAAAAGCATTACAAAGTCCCGTACATTATCATATTAGTATTACGATTTACTCATATTTCTATGCTGATATTACATGTGTTTCCTGTATTAATGATCATTCTGAACCACATTGGCACAGTTATTCTAGGCTTATAAGCTAGTATTATCAAAAAGTTTTTTCTCTCTCTCCAGTTAGTCATAATTGAAGGCATGAGGGTTGATTTAACAATGTAAAGGCGTCTGTGAATATAATATTGAGAAATTTTGAATGGAGCCACATATATGCAATGTTTTGAGCTGAATGTTTTCTATTGATATTCTAAATTCATCTAAACATTGTTTATTTTCAGTATTTGGAATTCAGGGTTTGTATTTGTCTCATCGTGTTTTCATTATTATTATTATTTTGTTTTCATATCTTTCTTTTGAACATTGGTTTGTTTTAACCACACACGTTGTTACATCAGAACAAAGCAGTTTCTCTGAACCATAAAATATATATGATTACAAATGAGCCTTATACTGGAATGTAACAGTGATGCCAAAATGGGACAAATATTGTGGAATCCAGTGTGCCTTTGTGAATACACAGTATACAGTTTTGCTTTACTTATTTTGTGCACCTCAGTATATAATGCATATTTTTTGCTGTTCATGCTTGTCAGAATTTTTTTTCCCAGTTCAGTTATTTCTCACTTTTTTTCTTGCATTACAGTACATTAATTTAGACCGTGTGAATGCTAATTATTTAGAATCAACACATGATGACAGATTACATTAATGCGAACAAAAAAAGTGTCAATCGCCTCTTCATAATCTGTTTTTGCACCTTTTACCTAGAACTAGCACAATAAATAAAATGAGCCTTACCTAACTCACCTAATTTCTCTTTCAAATCTTACATATTTTCTTTGCAGTATAAGAACCATTTTATGCTGCAAAAATCCCACAGAATATAAACCGCAAACAATATTTTTATAACTTTCTAAGAAAAAGGAAAAATTTGTGCCTGCAAGGACTAGGAGAGTTTTCGGCAATACTTTAGTATAGGACACAATTCTCACTATTATCTAGTTGTTTATTAGCCTGCCTATTATTAACATATTGGCTGTTTATTGCTACTTATAAAGCACATATTATGCATGACCATATTCTACATCCCTAATCCTACCCTATACCTGAATTTAACTATCTTACTAACTATTAATAAGCAGCAAATTAGGAGTTTATTGAGGCAAAAGTCGTAGTTAATGGTTTGCTAATGGCGAGAATTGGACCTTAAAATAAAGTGTGACTGAGTTTTCATCAGAGAGACTTTAACATTGAAACTGTGAATTGCAAGTTAAAGGACGATGCTTTTCCAGGCTGGTTTTCTCATTCAAGGCATCTTTTCAACAAGGCTGTTTTACATCTGTAGAAAATCTACCTGCAATTTACACAAATTGCATAATGTAAAGGTCAATGGATTGTACGCTAAAGGAAATTGTACATGTTTGAAGAAAAGTTGCACATAATAAGATATTAGAGACACCGGTCAAATCCAAAAAAATCTCTCCATTTGTGCTTGCCTAGAAAAGAAGCTTCTTAGAGGGAAGATCACAACTTTTATGTCTTCTTGGAGTATCTACCCGCATTGCAGCTACTGCAACATTTTCACATATGAAACACCCCACGCTGTAGCAATTACTCTGCGAACACAAATGACCAAGGGAGCAGTTACTGCCAGAATGCATAAACAAATCACCTGCGCGCTGCACCGAGAGCCTGTAAAATGAGAGCTTGTCAGTTGTGCTGAAATGATTAGACACGTTGTTGTAATGACAAACATGACAATAAGAAATGGCAAAACATTACATAGGCAATCGGTCTTTCTCGCAGCCTGACAAACAATTTATCATTCTGCTGTAATTGTACAGAAAGAGCTGTGGAAAAGAAAAGGCTTAGCATTGTATTATATTTACTGTGCAGCTCCTCTGAGGAAAATGGAAAACTCACCCGCACAGACAGAGATTAAAGAAAGAGCATACATCAACTTAGTAGGTTAGCCCTTTATTCACTAAGCACTCTGAGGCAGTGTGCCAACGCTTGATCAATAGTGGCCGTGTTGCCTCTTTGATCTCCTCAATGTAAACATTGTAATGTTCTTTGTGATTCACGATGAAGATGCATTGCTAACTTGACACTAACTTTGTCTTGGGCTTCACTGTAGGTTTCTGGAGGGCCAGATACTGCAGTGAACAGGAGGCAGGCAAAAGGTAGCTGTCTGCTGCCAATAAATCAATGTGCAGCTTTATTACGTGAGAGAACAAAAGGATCTGCAGGGAGATCAATGCCATCAAGAACCACCAACTCACAAACCAGTGGCATTTTGTTGTCCAGGGCCAGGACCATATCAACATCAATTTATTACTCACACTGTCCTTTCCACTTGATGTAGTTTGTATGAGCACAAATCAATCACGATTTTACATCCAATTAGAATTTAACGTTGAATCGCACCATTGTACTCCCTTTGCTGTTGATGTTGCACAACTTTATATGCACACGCTAAACATGATGTTTAATTAGAAATAGTATCATAATTAAGCAATACTACAACAGTAAATATTAAGTAACTTGCATTTTAGAAACACAATACCAGTTATTTTGTCAATTTGTATCTCCCCCAATCAAAATGGTCCCAACAGTCTCAGAGCAACACTAGTGTTGTTTCACTCCTGTGTGAATTAAAGGAATAGTTCACCCAAAAATGAAAATTAGCTAAAATTGACTCATCCTCAGGCCATCCAAGATGTAGATGACAAATGTGGAGATATTTTGAATCACGTCACTTGCTCATCAATAGATTCTGAGTTTGAACAGTTCTTAAAAACATCACAATAATCAACACGACTCCTTCAATTAAAGTATTGTGAAGTGAAAAGTTACATGTTTGTAATCAACTAATCCATGAAGACCTTTTTTTTTTTTTTTTTTTTTCCATTCCAAGTCCATTCAAAATAGATGAAAGTGAAGTTAAAACACCTTAATGATGGATTTGTTTCCTATGAACACAGCTTTTCACAGAGAACATTAATTGATGGACTGGAGTCATATTGTGGTGTTTTTATCAGCTGTTTGGACTCTGACGGCACCCATTCACTGCAGAGGATCCATTGGTGAGCAAGTGATGTAATGCTAAATTTCTTCAGATCTGTTCTGATGAAGAAATAAACTTGTCTACGTCTTGGATGGCCTGAGGGTGAGCAAATTTTCATTTTTGGGTAAACTATTCTTTCTGAGCAAAACTAGTGTTGTTTCAGTTCTGAATGAATTAGCATTTGTGACCCTGGACCACAAAACCAGTCTTAAGTCACTTGGGTATATTTTTAGCAATAGCCATAAAAACCCTGTATGGGTCAAAAGTATCGATTTTTCTTTTATGCCAAAAATCATTAGGATATTAAGTAAAGATCATGTTCCATGAAGATATTTCGTAAATTTCTTACTGTAAATATATCAAAACTTAATTTTTGATTAGTAATATGCATTGCTAAGAACTTCATTTGGACAACTTTAAAGGTGATTTTCTCAGTATTTAGATTTTTTTGCATCCTCAGATTCCAGATTTTCAAATAGTTGTGTCAGCCAAATATTGTCCTATCCTAACAAACCATACATCAATGGAAAGCTTATTTATTCAGCTTTCAGATGATGTATAAATCTCAATTTCAAAAAATTTACTCTTATGACTGGTTTTGTGGTTCAGGGTCACATTTGTGAATGAAACGGTTAAGAAGTTTATATTTTAGATTTTTAAATGTGCATATCAGCTAAAGTTTAGTCAACTCTTATGAGTAGCAACAAACTCCAACTTACAGTAGATTTGAGATTCTAAAATATTAGTATCTGATATTGTCTAGTTACATCTCTGAAGCATGTTACCATAGCAATATTTACATTTTCACACGCCAAAGATTTAAATAGGTAAACATGACTAATTCAAATATCAAATGCTAATTACCTAACAGTGAATAAACAAGACATTCTCAAGAATCCAAGGACAGAGAAAAACTAAGTATAAGCTTATAAGCACATAAGGTTAGGGAAATAAATTATAAAGGTCACTGATCTTTGATACACTTCAGGAATGTATTGCCTCCAAAAAATAGCCCTTTTGGGAAGCCAGGGCACTCTGCTGGCTGACATAAGTTAAAAAAATTGAAGAGGACACTGCTGTGCTAAAAGCTGCATGTGGTCTGTTGGACTTGAGAAAATAAGTGACTTTGACAACCTTCCCGCTTTCAACATTAAAATCCTGCTACATACGCGGCACCCCTTTAGGTCCAAATAGAAATATAACTATTCCCAACTTGCACAATTTTCTCTTTAAACTACATCCTCACTAGTTTCTCTACAGAAAGCTAAAACGTTCCACTCCTGAAGGATTATGTAGTCCTACATTATCCCTCTTGATCACAACAAGTGGAAGCATTCCCTTAGGGGAGGGCCTACACCTGCTTCAAACTG